GTAGTTTGGGTTGGATCCCGCATCCACCTTGAAGGTGACGTCGAAGCCCGGGTAGCTGCACTGCACTCTGCGATGCCGGAGGGAGTGTGTAAGGGTACGGTGTTCGTGTTGCAGTACTTGGTTAGGGTTGGGGTTCTCACCTGGAGTACTGTACTTGAAGGACGCCTGCGTTGCGAAGCTGGTCGCCTTGGCTAGGCTTCGCCATAGCCCCGAAGGCGGTCCCGCTGAGGTCGAAGTGGACGGGCTCGGCAAGACACGGCCCGCCGGGGCACTCGTCCGTGATGACGACGGTCACCGGGTCTCCGGAGCACGCGTCGTTCGTCGTGCACAGAACCTGATCATATCAGATTATTAACGCATCCATGAAGCAGATGAAATAGCAAGCTAAGCGTGTGTACCTGGTAGCAAGCACCGCATCCCTTGCCCGACTTGTAGATCGAAGGACTTCCTGCTGCTATCATGGACGAAAACGGAGCCGTAGCGACTGCACCACCATATCCACATGCGCCACCTATGAATACACACATACATGCACAAGATTTCACGTGTGATCTCGGGTATAATTCAGAATGCAACACCAGAATATTACCGTCACTTCCGGCGCCGTTGGCTGTTCCATACCAGGTGGCTCCGGCTGAGGACCAGGTGGCCCCGGCTACGGCAGACGAGTTGAGGAGTTTGCGGCAGGCGCATTGGCCAAGGAGGGAAAGGAAGGCTAGCAGTGCGACGAAGACAAGAAGAGAAGAGTGATGAGGAAGTGAGAAGGCCATGGCTACTAAGCAAATGCTTGGAGCTGGAGGAGGAAGAAGACAAGGGTTGGTTATGGTTCGAGATGCGAAGTCTGTGACTATTTATAGTTTGGATCGATGTATTACCTCAGTTGATTCGCAGTATCTCAGCCGCAAATTCTGAGTTGAAGGCTACTAAATGGCATTTCTAAGTAAGCATCTAACGATGCATGGCTTGGTGGATCAGCAAGAGGATGAACTTTTGCCGTGATTATGGACTTTGACAACTTCAATGCACACTAATCGATCTGGTCAGAGAAAATGTTTACTGTAAAGAATACCCATAAATCACCAAATCTTCTATTCTTAAGCACTTCCTGTTGTACATGCAGTTAATAGAGCCTAAAGAACTTATGCCTCTCCCTCCTGCAAATGTTCTCCCAACTTGTTCGTATCTATGATAGAAGGACACGTCAGCTGTCCTAGATATGTTAGAAGATTCATTAATCTATTACTATTAATGGCGAATCGTTTTGAGTCGACTATATTATTATTTCCCAATCTCTTAAAACATTTAATTTCCTTTGAATATCCAGTAAATAAAAAAGACAGATTCCACTACAGTAGATTTATTTTTTAGAGACTAGAAATAATATGTTGTAGAATAATTTACCTGAAAATGATTGAAGAATGAAGCGTAGGTGAAAACTGCATGGTGTGCATGGAGGAAGAGGACACGTTACCCCCGCTGAATCCGGGGTCTCGAAAGTGAGCCGTCCGCCCCACGAACCGAGCCGATGATGGCGGATTGCTGGCCGTTGAATCGACCTCACGTATCACAACAACGCCCCATCAGACGGCTGCTCGTCGTGGTGGCCCGGACGTAGGAGGCCCCGTAGTCATAGGCCCAGTTTAGGCTTCTTATCCTTCACATTTCATATACCAATATGTCATCGAGAGCTTCACTTGCTTAATCAGATAATATCGAACGAGTCAATCCATTGAATCTCGACAGACTAATAATAATAATAATAATAATAATAACAACAGCAACAACTAAACAAGGAGACCATTTTCACGGTTCTCAGGGCACCATTACAAACCTGCTGCTGGTGAAAGAACAAGCAACAGCAGAGAATAGCATTAAACATACATCGTAATTAGATGGCTGGCTAACTGCAACTAAGCCTCGTCTATCAAATCAAAGCTAAAGAATCATGATGTGGTGAAAAAGGTTAGGAAAAAGAAGATATTATCCGTTGATTCCATGTTGCAGAAGATAATGAGTGGCCAAGGTGCACGTTCCTTTTACTTCCGATGGGACAACGCATGTATCCAATTGTGGAACCTGCGGTTAGATCGTTGAGGTGAGAATGTAAGCCCAAACATCTCCTTGAGGGCCTGCCCTTGTTCAAAGAGTCCTATCACTCTTGCCACAACAGACGCACTCTCTCTTACATGCTCCAGGTCCTTGCGGTCGGACCACAGGCTCCGAGCAAGCTGTAGCCTTCTCTGTTTCGAGCTCAATGCAATTCCCCACTTTATGTACAGGCTCTCTCTTTCAGCAGCACACAAACTCTTCTGCATCTCCCTGCAAAGCATGTCTCTTTCACGCCGTAGCAATTTCAAACTGTCAAACAGGAAATAAACTGTGTCAGTAATAAATTGCGGCGATGTTCACATGAAAATAAGATGAGGAAAGAGTAGCACAGTGAAAGGTAAAACCTTGACGCATATGTGGAACTCTGACCGAGTTCTGCTGTTTTATCAGCATTTCCCAGAGATAAATTGCTCTTTAAAAAGGATAGCCTCCTTAGTTCCACTTCCATGTAAATCGAGTCTGTTGGATCACCTTTGAAGAGCATGTAAAAGTAAGTCCTGTGAACCAAGGATACATTACAATCATGCCAGAGCTTAATTATCTCTTGCTGCTTCTTCTCAAACTCCAGAGACCATACTGAAGGCGATTGCAGCACATCTAGAGTTGGTTCCAGACCAATATCCTTGGTGGTACCCTCATTTCCAAAGTCTTCAAATACATTCTGTTCAGTCCCCTATCATCAAGCAATACGTTACTGAAAATGCAACATCATCGAAGATAGTTGTTATACCAACAGATAAGAAAACACTTGAATTTCATGTTCATTATTAATTTTAAATATATAAGAGAATATATTAATGAGTTTTTTTTCCTTTTCTTAATAAAATTTCCTCCTTTTTTTCTTATTTTTTCTCTCTGTGTTGACAGAATATTTGTGATGGCAAGGCAATTTGCCAGCACATTCTGATAGCATGTTCATATTTGTTGTGTAGAGGACCCTGGTACGAGAGATTAAGATGGACATAATTCAAGCATGAAAATACTAGGTTGCAATACTAAGAACCCATTTCGCCTCAAGAAAACATTAGCTCATAAAAACTAAAATAGGGTAATACTTTGCATCATTATGTAACGAGATGAAAATGCTGGCAAGAACGACTAGAAAAGAAAATCATTTATCACAGTTATGTACCTGATCAATGAAAAATTGTTTCCGGTGATGAACTTGAGCCATCTCTGGCTCTACATAATCATCAAATCTGCTAGTTGTTTGTTTCTGTGCATCAAAAGATTTGCTATCTTCAGAATTTTGAAATACCCTTGCTGACAGTTTTTTTATTTTGGCACCAAAATTTGAAGAAAATAGTTTGTTTTGAAATCCTTCAGGCCTTCCACGGAATTCTTTTAGAGATGTGCTAGGTGGTGTACCATCTTCTTGAAGCCAAGATGAAGAGCTCATGAGTGTTGATCTACAACTTCTACTTCTACCCAATGGAAAACTTCTAAAGCTTGAATCTTGCCATGAGGACAATGGAGATGATTCATCAGGATATTCCTTGACAAGACTTATCAGTGTCTTCCTAACATTGTGAAGATGTTGCTCCAATGTGATGGGATCAGCACTTGGTGATCCCAGATCCCTCCGTTCCCCAGCTTTATGATTTCCATCTATATGTCCTGAGGAAACTGTACTCGGGTGTTGAAGACTATTTCTTCCTTCAGTTAACAAGGAACTTGAATCTTCACTTCTACATGTCCCATTCATCTCAATACAGATGACTTCCTCACAATTTTCCTCAAATCGTTCACAGAGGCTTTTATCAATCTCTTCCTCACCTTGATCTTCAGTTGACCCAATAAACTTGCGATTTGCCACTGAGTGCCTTGGTGATAGAGCATCCTGGTTGTGTGTTTGCAGGTAGTGCTGATTGTGTGATGTCACAAATTGTGTGGAGGCAAAATCTAGACTGTGATCAGCAATGTCTAAAGGCTCAGACACCAAAAGCAAATCATCACATGAATGAGGTAAATTGAGTAATGACGTTTGGCTCAAGTCACCCTGGAGAGAAACAAAGAGATATCAAGAGCCCCACTACTGACAAAAAATGTGAACATAAGGAAGAGCAAATACCCATTGGCTTGAGAAGTGATCCTTGCCAACAACTTCCAGCAAACCCTCCTGTCGAGATTGACCTAGATCACGTTGCTTGATCAACTCCTTGATCTCATTCTCCATCTGTCGTGTCAATTATAACTAATAGTTGTCAGTGATGTTCGATTCTTGCAGCTGTGAGTACTGAAAATATTAGCAAAACTATTCTAAAAGTATGCATCCTTTCTAAATACAGATGTCTTGTTCTTGAGCAAATAGAATGTCTCAACATGCAATCACTTGCATATCACAAAATACATTAAGGTCACAATAGCAAAAAAATGTTTGAGAGAAACTATATTTCCAAATTAAAAAAAAAAAAAATAATGCTCTTAGTTTGACTAGTGAGCTAAACAGAGCCCAACAACCACAAAAATATCTGTGCAGCCAACCCCAAGAAGTTGAGAACAACGGAGCAGTTCAATGCATAGTCAATACCAAGGTCCCAATCATGGCTATAAGTAGAATCAGACTAGGAACCAAAAACCAGATCAACAGGTACAAAGTATATTGCTCAACATTTCCAGGTTTGTTGTCGCACCAACATTAGAACTAAGTAGATGCGAGAATGTAAACTATAATAAAATATAGAAGATGCATATAAGAAGAGTGTATTTAAAACATCAGGCTAAATTCAGATGATTATGCAGTACCTTTTTGATTTGAGCATCCTTCTCTCTCAACAAGGCTTCCACCCTTGGAGATATTCCTGGATATCTCAATTCGCACTCCAATCTGGCAACTTCTTTCTGCAACTGCTTAACCAATGCCTTATCAGACATAACTATATTTACCTGTGCATTAGTAGCTACTTCTTTTGCACAGCTTGCAAATAGAAGTGTGTTTCTGGATTGCTCAATATGGCTTCTTGCAGGGCTCATTGTGCAAATAATAGCAGTTCTTGCATTACCCCCCAAGGATGGTTGCAATATTCGTGTGAGTTTTGAATCCCGATATGGAATGTGCCCATTTCTTCCCTTGCTGTGCCAATTTGGACAAGTATATTGGTAAATGAAGTAGAAATTGTTTAATATCGATTATCATAATACTATTAGACTTCTTACATACTTCAAGATCCTAGAAGATGACCAAGTTGTGGATCATAAACCAATCCACAAAATCATATAGTGCTAACAAAAACATCTGTGTGTGTGATATTATAGTGTTAGCCTCATTGTAATTGATTCTACCTTCATTCCTAAACAAATTTTACTATGATGATTTGGCAGAAACAAAACTATACATGCACATGGAAATTCATTCACTTTTTAACTTATACTACTACAGAAAATACAGACAGTAGTTATTAAATATCAAATTTGTGTGCTGCAAATAATTAGGAAGTAAGCGTCTCTACTTTATGATTTTGGCTTGGATAGAGTTTATCTAGTAATATATTATTCAATCAGCACATTGCACAAGTGATTTAGAACAGATAACACAGTTGGTGACCCAGAAATAATCCTGACATGGTTGATCAGGCAAGGACAGAACAAGGAGAAAAGGAAATTTTTTTTTTTTTAAAGCAAACTTTACAAGGATGGAAACAAATAACCTTTCCATGCATAAAGATGATGTCTTAGAAAAACTTTAAAGTTCATGCATATTTCTACATATCATTTCTGGGTCAAGTTATTAATAGTGAACTCAGAATTATTCTCAGTGATAACAGTTAGCACTAGATCATTATCAACACATTAACAGTTGTTCACTTATTAAATCTAAGATAAAAACATTATCAGGCTGATTAAATATGGCATGAAATTTCCTAGAAGCGTCAAAATAAACAATAGTAAAGGAACTTTTAACTCATAGCAGCAGGCTTAAATGTAGTGATTTGTATTCAAGTTGGGACAATGGATCTATTTAATTATATTGAGGAAAATCAATCCAGCACTCCACATCGTAAGAAACTGATATGTAAAGGAATCTAACATAGTAAATCTCAACTTGCTGAAATAACTTGCAGTACAAATAAAATGCATCAAGCATGTTACATGCATAAGCAATTTAGCTTCAAAGGAAGAAAACCAAGATCTAGTTACATCAGTAATGAAGCAAAAGGATGAAAAAGGAATTTTCAACAACCTCAACTTGCGAATAACAGTTCCAAGGGTTAGTAAGCTTCGATTTATGTGGCAACCCTCTTTCAGCCTAGTACCAGCAGATAATGCCTGGGATGCACGTTCACTCCCTCCCAGATCAACAAAATTCTGCAAACAGGGAATGGAATATGTTTTTTCTCTAATCTCTCTTGAGTGTATTTAGAGTTATTATAAACAAAGCATAAGAAGATTTTCATACCACACTAGCCACAAGTGTGCTTGAGTTGTCCTTGCCCAAAAATTCCCTAGCAGAACTTTCAATAGTCTGCAAGAATCGATTAATCATAGAAAAATATAAATTGTTTCTCTTCTAAATAGTACAGCAGATTATTCAATTATTAGGATAAAGAAGAACAAACCAATCTAAGAATTTGATGAGATCTGGAACTTGTTTCATTTAGAGAGGTCTCCCCAATCTTTCTCTGAGCTAGAAAATGAAAAATGACACCGGTAAGTACATCTCAATTAGCAAAATGCTTATTCTCTAAACAAACTTCTGGTTGGTCACCTTCACACACAGAAATGAGAGCCTTAAGGTGGTTCCAGTCCCTTAAGGTTTCCTCTGTTAGTTTTTCGATTACAGTTCCTTTCTGCCAAATGACATATTTTTTCACCTTCAAGTAAACAGGCAAGGAAGGTTAACTAAACATCTAGGCGAGGCACATCACCTCTGGATCGTCTAAAAGTCTAAGGGGAGCAGAATCTGTGCTGAGTAGATCTTTCACAGCTTCATTGTATATCTCTATTGCTGAAAACTTCAGCACAAATGCTCTCTCCTCGTGCTGCAAAAGGAATGAAACAACTAGCAGCGAAAACAGAAACAATTTTCTCTATGCCACAGGCACATATAAGATGCAAATTGGAATATTAGGACAGTCACATGATATTCTACATTACCTTATGTATGTATTCATATATATCTTGTGCGGTATACTCAGTTATACCAGTCATTGTGTATGTTTTCCCGCTGCATGTTTGCCCATAAGCAAAAACAGTAGCTGAAAATCAAATATATCAATCTTTCTATGTTCTCTAAAATATCTTGAGAATGCAGACTGAGGCAACTACACTTACAGTTAATGCCAGTAACTACAGAAAGAGCAACTTCTTTAGCGCCTTCCTCGTATACTTGCTTTGTGGTGCAATCACTTGGAAATACTTTGTCTGTTAGCAAGAATTAAAAAAACCCAACATCAAGAATATCAATACGGACATTCTGGAAAGAAAAAGCTAGGCTTTAGCATCCAAGAGATAATATCAAACATTATAAGATAGGATGATTCTGAAGCCACAAAAAGTCATATGTTAGTGTTTAAGACGATGCAGTTTCGGACAATTTGATGGAACGAAATCCATGTTCAAGCAATCAAAACAAGAGGCTGGAATTCTTGCTGCACTCTAAAAATTCTAGCAAAAACAAACCCCACTAGAGAATCTAATTATGCTAGTTAGAATACCTATTTCATTTACAGAGTGAAAAATCATCTCAAGTTCATTTTGCAAATGAATTGGATGTAGAGAACAGGGGAAAAGGAAAGCAATTGTGAATGCAGCAAACACACCAAACGTATAAGCAGTAGGATTTATGGACCGTTCCAAAAGGCTCTCCCTGAAAATAACGGTGGTGTCGTTGATGCACTCCCAATCCGACGGATCGTTCTCCGCCACTTCCTTTTCGCTCAAGGGCCGCAGCCGCACCGAAACAACTATCTTCTCCATCTTCCCACCCCCGCCGGACTCCGACGCCACCTCCAGGCTCTCCTCCGCCCTCTCCCACGGCACCATCTCCTCCCCGCCACCCGCCCCCATTCCTCGCCTCAGACATCCACAACCATCTGCAACAAGCACTCGACTTAGGGAACAAGAACCAACCGAAGCATGAACAAAGGACGCATCCTAACCTAATCTGATCCTCAATTCAGAGGCGAAGGATCGTCGAGGAGTTGCTGTTGAAGGCAGGAGGCAGGTCGTTAGAGGGTGATGTTCGAACACACCAGATCGGTGGTTCAAATGTCAGACATGAGGCTGACAGGAGGCCGAGATTACATCAACGAATGCCGGCCACAACCTCTGATCAACTCTGTTGGGGGTTGCCGGCCTCCGAATTAAGAAACCCTATGACAGGAGTAACAAGGAAATAGCTCGCTAGGCCAGAGAAGGGAATCAGACGGTATTTGGCAGCAGCGTTTGAGCGGTGACAAGGGCAGGCAGCCTACTCAAAAGAATCACAATCACACTACTCTGAGATGTAGCTTTCACTGGGAACAACCATTTCCTCTGAGACCGTGTGTCAGAGCGAGAGAGAGAGACGGAGAGGTACCTGAGATGAGGATTCCTAGGCATTGTGACCAGATTCTTCTTCCATCTCTGGTGGGATGAGAGCAGGCTGTTTCTCTTTCTGAGATCTAAAAAGGAGACCGCCCATGCTGTGCTCGGCTTTTGAAGAGGGAGGGAGGGAGGGAGGGAGAGGGGGATTGTCTCTGCCACTTCTTCTTTTGTTCAAAGCAGGACATTACTGTGTCAGTTTTGGATGAGTCGTTCTTTTGTCCATTTTCTTCATATATTCATAATAAAATAAATACATATATCTAAACGACTTTAATGATCATTTATTTAATTTAAATTCACCTCTTGGATAAAGGTATTAATAATATAAATGAATAGATGATTCGTTATAGAAACCTCTAAGATTTGAACATGTGAACTCAATTTGTTAATGCTTTAGTTTCTGTCTCATTTGATGTTGTTTCTTTCGTTGGTTAACCTAAAATAAAATAGTACCACGTTTCCCGGTCACGCATTCTACGTCCGACGTTTTGTACCAAGTGGGTCCCGCGCTCTCTCTCCAATTAAAGATCAGGTACGTCGGGTAGGGTAACGGACGGCGACATGGCATTGCGGAAGTGGCAACTCGTGGGACGCGCCCTGTTGGTTTCAAAAGCGGGACGGGCTTCGCACTGCCTCCGAGAAGCGCAAAGGAAAGTGGGTCCCGCTTGGGGTCCATAACTTTCTCCGATAGAGAGGTAAGGTAAGTGTCGGGGGTTCCGCAGTACGTGACGAGACGAGCAAAAGGCGGCGTACGTGCGCACGTGCTTCGCACACCCTGTCTAACGGTCGGTGTTTGACATAAAAATGAATTAAATGATATAATTTTTTTTTCTTTTTTTGGGTTATTTATTTATTTCAAAAAATAAATAAATAGATTCTGGTTTGGTGCAGTCTCTCCTTATTTTTATTTTTTATGGACGAATAAATTAATAGCTGATGGAACAACATGGGATGCGTAGGACACACTGTTATGTATGTAGCAAGTTACAATGATGTCCATTTGTATATGAACATGATGGATAGAAACAGACAAATTGAAGGATTAAATGACCCTTTGGTATTGTCTATTTCTATGGCCACACAGGATTGATGTATCTTAGTTTCAACCGATCGCTTAAAGATTTAGAAAATGACACATTAAAGATTAAGAAAATGACATCTTTCGTCAGTAAATCAATTTATGTTTTATAATGAAACTCAAAAAGATGGTACAATTTCAAATGATTAATTAGTAATCGTAGATCCATAAAGTTTAAATTATTAGGAAAGAATAATAATAATCCGTGACCGTTATTTTTAATCGTAGATAAAAAATAATAAGGTCACAAATCTCGATTATTTGGGATCATATATATTAATTTGTTACCGTTATTTGCATAATTGTTTATATAGAAATACTTGTTAGGTTGAAGAAAGGGAAAGATCTGTTCGTATGTTTTTTATTTTTATTTTTCAAAGAAAACAGTTGAGATGCCACTATCAAAATGAAAACAATAATTTTTTAAAATACAAAAAAGGGAAAGGATTTAAATGAGAATGTATCCTAATATATCATATTGAAATAATGTATATATATATATATATGTAATTTTTCTAAAAAATCATTTTTTTTTGTTTTTTAGATGATTTATTTTTATTTTTCATTGAGATAGCATAGCCCACTCTTCGTCTCTGTCATCGATATGCAAAATAACGGAAAATATAATTCAATGAAAATAAGGGATATCATATGCAAAAAATATTATTATTATTATTATTATTAATATATATATATATATATATATATATATATATATATACCTAAAAGTCATCGATATTTAGCTTTTACTAAATGATGTCTCTTAATTGATTTTTATCTGCGACATCCTATTTCAAAATATAATTCATCCTTCACCAATCGCCCGTGATCGTGATCGCCGCCACCGCCTGCCCCCTTGCTCCCACCACGAACGGCGTCGCCCGTCGCCTCCTCCCCTTCGTTCCTTCCCTCTTCTCCTCCTCCTCTGTCGCACACCCTTTCCCATCACTCGTCGCTCCTCCCCCTCCACCCTCACCGCCCGCGTTTCATCGTCGTGGTGGGAGCAGGTAATTCACCGTTCCTCCTCTCCCCTCCTCCCCCGATGCCCACCATGCGGTGCTTCTTCGCGGATCAGTGGCCGAATCTTCATACTAGGGGGCGACGACGGCGGGATGTCTGCGGTGGAGTGCTATGAAACGAGGGCGGACCGGTGGGCATCGATAGTTACGATACGGTGGGGGATGGTATAGTACAACATGACGATGGTGGGCCGACGGATGTCAATGACCAAGGGGTGGACCTGGCCATTCGACTCATTGCCGAGGGGCAGCGTCTACGACGCGGATCACGACGAGCGGGAGGAGATGTCTCACAATCGCGCGGCTTGTGCAGCGCCCCTCGGGAGCGATAGCTTTGTCCCCCTCCCATAGTGAGGCCGCCTCCATAGAGGCAGGAACGAGTGCCTCCATCGCCTCTTCGCTGCCCGAGGGTATTTTCGTTAAATTGATAAAAAATTTAAAAATCAGAAACACTAGGTTTAATTGAGAGGGGCGATGGGACCCTCTCCCATTTGGGTTTTTTTTCCTATGGGTCCCAGTGTGATGAGGGTCACCCACTATTGGAATGACACGTGTACGGTGGTCAGTTTTCAGATGCTGACTTTGGAGCGTCAGTCATGACGAGCACGGAAGTGAGCCAAGAAAGAAGGCAGATAGAACTCAGTGAGATGAAATGAGTTGGGAACAGTCACATCACTTATCGTGGAACGATGTAGCTTTTGGTTTTTTTCCCGAAAACAAATTATATTAGCTCATAAAGCGAAAACAATCAGACGCATAAAAGATATCTCAAAGCGGGCATTTTGGGAAACCTAATCACTCTGGTCTCACTGACAAATTCTCTCTTTTCTCCTCCTGTTGCCATGAAACAGAGAGCTCGAAGAGAAAAAGGGAAAAGGGGGAGAGAGAGAGAGAGAGAGAGTGACAGAAGCGAGAGAGAAAGATTTTGGGCATCACATTTGCATCAGCAGCGGCCTGCAAACTCCGTCTTCCCTCATAAAGTCAATCCAACTCCTCTTTTTCTCTCACCAATCCATCACACACATGCTGACTTCTGTTATAGATTTCTTTTGGTCAGGACAAGCTGCTATCATACTTTTGCCCCCACCAATCCTTCTTCTCATGCTTCTCTTTCTTCTTTGTCTACCTCGCTGAACTCTCAAGACCAAACACTGGTGGCAAGAGGAATAGGAATTTACACTGTTACATTCCATATACAAACCAATACTGGAGAGCTTCACAATGGTTCAATAATGTCAATAAGGAAAAGAGAAAGAGAAAAGATTGAGATGTAGAGACAGTGAGGATCGTCTTCAGACTCCCCTGGTTTCAGCAATTCAATGTACAGGCCATGTACACATTTCACCTCATCTCTCTGTCTCTACTTCTCTCTCTCTCTTATGGACTCTTCTTTACCCTTGGTGAATGCTGTCTGTGCCTTCGTGCTGATTGCTGTCCCCGCCGTTGACCCTGAGAGGGTTCTTATTCCACAAACAAATCAACGAATAGCAATGGATGGATTGAGGAGATGATATGTGTCGACGTCGTCGTCATCGATCAACTGTTTGATGTCGAGCATGCAACACGCTATAGCAGTTCTGATGCTTGCAGTGGTGGTTAAGGTAGAAGATCGAGAGCTTTCGGTATACCAAATCTATTGAGCTATTGCCAAGTAGGAGCCCGCAGTGGCCGTGGACGTGTTTCCTCCGCTGCCGGCGCTCACGTTCTGCCTCTGGAACTGTATCTCGTACTGCATTTTCCCGTCCTCATCATCGTCATCGTCGTCCTCCTCGTCTTTGTCCATGTTGTCGCTGTCAGCTTCATTTAACTTATCGTAGTCATTGAACGCAGCTTGCTGTTGCCCCATCGGCTCCTTCGCAATGACTACTGTCTTCAATGCGGCATCAATCCACCACGTTATGATATCTCCAGCAAAGATGCAAAGGTTCGTAGGGAGCGATAAAGGTGGAGTGGCGCTTACCTTCTTCAACCCTTCGTCGAAGAAGCTCGATGGAAGTCCTCCATTGCCAGTTTGTGCCTGTATGGCATTTGAACCGCCGCCACCCTCAGAATTCCCATCGCATCCACTGTTATTGCTGCAGTTCTTCTCGTTCTTGCTTTCGGCCTCTGCGGGAGGTTGATGAAGAGGGGGCGTTGATGACAGATTCATTGGTGCGCCACTCTGCTGTTGATTGGAAGCGGGATTGACTTCTTGGCCTTCCTGACGTTGAGTGCCCACGTTGCTGCCACTGCCGAGGAGCCTGTTGCGGTAGAGGGCATCCAATTGGTGGAAGTAAGGGCAGGTCTTGGAGTCATCGGGTCGATGCTTGTTGCTGTCCTTCACCTTCTTGAAGTACTTGTTGATGTTCTCCCACTTCTCCTTACACCGCTTGGCGCTCCGGTTGTAGCCGAGGCGCTGCATTCCGGCTGAGATCTCCTCCCACAGTGGTCCCTTCGGTCCAGCCTCATGGTACTTCGAGTCGAGACCGCTCCGGAGGTTGATCAAAGCATGCACCTCCGTCTTTGGCCACCGCGAGGACGACGACATGGGCTCCAGGTTTACGCCATCCTCTGCATCCTGAGGCTCCGTATTGAGGACGAGCTCTGTCCCCGATGATGACTGATGCCGTGCCATCTCGGTGATGTGGTGGTCACTCTGAACCACATGCTGCTTCGAAGGTGATTGTACCGAAGCGGGCGGTCTCTGCTGCTGCTGCTGCGTCGTCGGCGGCGGCGGTGGAGGCTGTGGCTTTCGTGGAGGTGCGGCTGATTGTGGCGGCGGTGCATGCGACACAGGGGTAGCAGGCATGGTGGGCATCGGGATCGTCTGGCCGCTTAGCTTCTGAAGGTAGGAGATTATGGCGGTGTCTCTGGACGCGGCCATGGCCCGCTCCTGCGCCAAGAGCTCCTGCTCGCGGTTGAGCCGCGTCATCTCCTGCCGCCGCCACGCCTCGTCTCGGATCATCCTGTCCTGCTCTCTCTTCTCTATGGCATCCAAGAACCGCTGCTGCATGGCCTCCTGCCGCTCCATCACTTGCTTCATCAGCCGATCGAAGAATGCCATCATCTTCCTGCTACTTCCCGAGTCCCCGCCGCCGCGCTTCCGCTTCCTCCCTTCCTGGCTCTCCCCGGCCTCT